ATTTTTAAAGAACTATAAAAGCAAAAACCAATGGGAAGGACACATGGCCAGTGATGTCATTTCCTGGCTTTACCTGGACGGGGAGGACCACGTAGCCGTTCTCCTCCAGGACCTGCTCTACCGCATCGTTGAAGTCAGGGTAGCGGACGCGAGGGCAGTCCAGCCCAGGAAACAGATCCGAAATCAAGCCGAGGAAAAGAGGGACATCTTCAAACACAAACTTGGGCAGGTTCATGTCACGCAGGGCCCTCATCAGTACCACGTCCTGCAGCAAATGAAACACGTTTCCAGGGGATTTTCAAAGGAACTCAGTGCTTTGGACTGGGTTTCCAACCCAGCAGAAACACCCTCATGAAATATAAAATACAATTTTCACATAAACATTTTATACTTTTAAGAAATTTTATACACATTTAATTTAAAATTATATAATTTCAAATTACAAAAATTTATATAACAAAATTATACAATTTCTGTTTTTTACATATTTTATATTAAAATATGTGATTATATAAGATCATTAAACATGAAATATAATATATATATATTCCATATATTTCATATCATATAATATGTACTTCATATTATATAATATACATATATATGGCGAGGTGCAGTATCTCAAACCTATAATCTCAGCACTTTGGGAGCCTGAAGTGAGAGCATAATCTGAGGTCAGGAGTTTGAGGGCAGCCTGATCAACATGGTGAAACCCCATCTCTACTGAAAATACAAAAATTAAGCCAGGCGTGGTGGCTCATGCCTGTAATCCTAGCATTTTGGGAGGCTGAGGTGGGTGGATCACCTGAGGTCAGGAGTTCAAGACCAGCCTGGCCATCATGGTGAAACTCCATCTTTAAAAAATAAAAGAAAAGAAAAAAGAAAATACAAAAATTAGCCTGGTGTGGCGGTGGGTGCCTGTAATCCCAGCTACTCAGGAGGCTGAGACAGGAGAATCTCTTGAACCAAGGAGGCGGAGGTTGCAGTGAGCTGAGATTGTGCCATTGCACTCCAGCCTGGGCAACAAAAGTGAAACTCTGTCTCGAGAAAAAGATATACACACACAACACACACACACACTCACACACACACACACACTCACACACACACACACAACACACACACACACACACTCACACGCACACACGTAAATGAAATATAAATTTTAAAATGAAATATGAAAAATTATATAAATTGTATACATATATTAAAATTTCATATAAATAAAAATGTATAAAGTTTTTATATTATTTTATATAATTTATATGAATTTATAAGTCATATTTGTATTATTTATAAATTATATAAATTTATAAAATTTACATAAAATATTAATATGCATATTATATAGTATAAAATATGCATATATTATATGTAATATAAAATATAATTCATATTTCACATTTAATAAAATATAAACTTTTAATAAACATAAAATTTCATGCTGCAATTTTCAAATTTCCACATGAAAATAAAAATATAAAATAAAATATATAAAAGTAAAATATAAAATTGTATATAAATGTAAAAATAAAATAAAATATAAGAAAGGAGCACAGGCAGAGGAGTGAGGCGCACGCTGTGACCCAGCCTTGGGGCTGGGGCGGGCCTGCTCCTGCGAGGCCGAGTGTCCTGGTGGGCTGTGTGAGGAGAAGAAAACAGATCTTGGCCAGAGGGAAGGAGCAGAACCTTCTTCCTCCCCACGTTACAGAGGGGCATGGCCATCCACGCTAAAGCAAATGTTCCTTATCACAGGAAGAACGTTTTCCTAGACCTTCAGGTGCGCATACACACACACACACACACACACACACACACACACACACCACACATACCACACACACACGCGTGTGTGTGGGGGGTGTGTGTGTGTTTCAGACAGGGTCTCACTCTGTCACCCAGGCTGGAGTGCAATGGTGCTGTCTTGGCTCACTGCAGCCTCCACCTCCCAGGCTCAAGCAATCCTCCCACTTCAGCCTCCTAAGTAGCTGGGACTGTAGGAGCATGCTACCAGGCCCAGCTCAATTTTTTGGTTTGGGGGGTTTGTGTTTGTTTGTTTTGGAAGAAATGGGGTTTTGCCATGTTGCCTAGGCTGGTCTCACACTTCTGGCCTCAAGCAATCCTCCCACCTTGGCCTCCCAATGTGCTGGGATTACCAGCCCGAGCCACTGCACCCAGCCTTAGATGCTTTTATTTACATATCAATAAAAAATTCTGAACTTGGGACCTGGCAGGTGTCTCTTAGAGTGAGGAGTCCTGCTTCTTTCATTCAGCCTTCACTATCTGGAAATGTGGGTATCTCTTCTCTAGGTATTACCTCCAGGATTTGGAATGAAAAAGGCCACTTTACCTTTTGTTCTGCCTCTCAGATTGAACACAGATGCCCCTGGGATTGCAGCTACCCTGCCTTCCCAAAAGAAAGAAGCAAGTGAGTCTTCTGCCATTTGCTTCATTGTAAAGACATTTCGCAAGCCGAAGGCTGAGGGTGCATTTGAAATAGGTGCTTTGGTGGTGGTATTTGAATTCTTTACTTTTTATTCCAAACAAGACTAAATAAACGGCAAGGACAGCTGATTTTAGGGGTTCTTAAATGTCTTCCCGTTTCAGCCACAGATTTACTGAGTAAGAACACAGATTTACTGTGACACAGATTTACTGAATAAGAACAAAGGTCTGAGTTTGCAAACTTTTGATGTGATAAAGAAGTGCAAAGACAATATAGCATAGTTGATTTTATATGTGAAGAAACCATCACAGTCTGTACAAACAGTTTTACATGTGTTAAGTCCACATTTTTGGATGAGAAGAGGGATTTTCCTCCTAGAAAAGGAGGCTGCTTTCAACTTCTTTCTTAGAAGCCTTTGGATATTTGTATGTGCAATGTGTTTTCATTCTTCTAAGGAAGTAGCAGACTGCAGCAGTTAGCGCTGTGAACGCATGGCTGCGTCAGGGCAGCGGAAGAGACACACCCACCCTGAGAGCAGTGATGGGACCCTATTCCCCTCCCTAGGAGGACAGACTGCAGCAAATGGCTTCTTTCTTTTCTGTAGAGACTTAGATGGCACTTGGGACTGTTTTCCTGTTGCTGAGACTGAAAGGAAAGTGGCATCAGTGGTTTTTCAGTTCAGAAGATATGACGCACACAATAGTACGATCTCCCTTCAACTTTGGACATAGAGGAGCAGGGGAGAAAATGAGAGACGTTTCCCTGTAACTCCTTTCTCCTAAGAAAAAGAAGTAAAAAGGCTGAATGCAGCTCCATCTGACTTTACAGTGTTTTACATTTTACAGCTTCCTTTTTTGGAAAAGCATAAATAACTCTTCCTTTGTCCCCTCCAAAAAAAGAAACCCAAATGTGGGCCAGGCGTGGTGGCTCATGCCTGGAATCCCAACACTTTGGGAGGCCAAGGTGGGCAGATCACCTGCAGTTGGGAGTTCAAGACCAGACTGACCAACATGAAGAAACCCCATCTCTACTAAAAACACACACACACACAAATTAGCCAGGTGTGGTGGGACCTGCCTGTAATCCCAGCTACTCGGGAGGCTGAGGCAAGAGAATTGCTTGGATCCAGGAGGCGGAGGTTGCGGTAAGCCGAGATCGCACCACTGCACTCCAGCCTGGGGACCAAGAGCACAACTCCATCTCAAAAAAAAAAAAAAAAAAAAAAAAAAAAACAAATGTATGAAAACTCCAAAAGAATGAAGCAATTTGCAGCAGTCTCTCCTCCTATGGACATGAATAGGCTTCTGTCACTGCACTCACGGCTGTTTTGTTTCGTCTTAACTACCCAGATCTCTGTGTGTGTGTGTGTGTGTGTGTGTGTGTGTGTGTGTAACACTGTGAGTACAATCACTAGAGAAACAAGTGATCCTGTTGCCCACAGAATGGCATTGACCGAACCTTTTCTTTAGAGTAAATCCATGTAAAAACCAACACAATCATTCCCCTTTTGTTGCAAAGAGAAAATAAAAACTCACATTCATGCTTTCATGAGAATTTTGTTAGCCTTTACCCTTCCACCACACCATCCTGAGACTACAGACTGATCATTACTATGGAAGCGTCGTAAATGCTGGTACTGAAGTGAGGACGTTGCACTCAACCTTAAGGTACCAAGTATAATTACAAGCAAATGCTGTAACAGGTAAGAGACCAAAGTAAGGCCAGGCCGCTGGGCGAAGCAGCAGCGAAGACCTAAGACTTTCGGGTGATACCATCCTGTGCCCCGGCACCTCCCCCGCCGCAGGTAGTAAATGTGCATGAACCAGCTGAAGCCGGAGAACGTTCCAGCACCTGGCCCCTACCTCCCTAAGATCGGAGGAGCCTCTCTTCAGCTCGCCAGCCATGACCAGCACTGATTTCAGCGCTCTGAGTCCAAAATCATAGTGATGCTGCTTGGACAGCTGCTCCCGGGCCAGCTTGTACAGAACCGTCATCTTTTTTGCCAGAGTCTTTTTGGTGGAAGAGAACGAAAAAAATGAAGATAAAATAAAACGATTCAAGAGCAACGGAACATCGTTCTACAAAAGCAATAAAACAGCGCAGGCGTTCCAGCATAGCGGCTCTACAAATAGCAAATTCCGTCTCTAACTTTCAGAAATACCAGGGTGGGTCCTTCATTTTTAAATACGGCAAATTGGGAACTAATTTAAAGGAATATTTGTGTTACCAAAATCACCACCTTACGTTAAAGAACAGAACCAATTGTAGGAATCACGCTCCAGAAATACATTGCTTCTTATTTTGACCCAATCTATGATTAAGGCTGTAACTGGGCCAGGCGTGGTGGCTCACACCTGTAATCCCAGTGCTTTGGGGGCCGAGGTGGGTGGATCACCTGAGGTCAGGAGTTTGAGACCAGCCTAGCCAACATGGGGAAACCCTATCTCTATTAAAAATACAAAAATTAGCCAGGCATGGTGGTACACACCTGTATGCCCAGCTACTTAAGAGGCTGAGGGAGGAGGATTACTTGAGCCCAGGAGTTCGAGACCAGCCTGGGCTGCAGAGACCCTGTCTCTACAAAAAAATAAGCAAGATCAGCCAGGCATGATGGCATCTGCCTGTGATCCCAACTACTCGGGAAGCTAGGGCAAGAAGATCACTTGAACCCAGGAATTTGTGGCTGCTGTGAGTTGTGATCTTACCACTGTACTCCAGCCTGGGTAACAGAGTAAGACCCGGGAGGGGTACCATGAGGGATCGTCTTTGTGGTTGTGGTGATGGAATAGTTCTGTATCCTGATGTGGTAACGGCCACTCCCGTCCACATCTGATAAAACATCATAGAACTAATGACACGCACACGCCAGAGAGAGAATGAAACCTGGTGAAATCTGCATAACGTCTATCCCTGAGTTAATGGTACTTGTGCCAACACCAGCTTCCTGGTTTGGGAAGTGGACTGTGGTATATGGAGTGTTCTTGTGGGGAGGGGCACTCGGAAATTCCGTGCTGCTACTGTCACAACCTCTTATGCATCGTAAATTATTCCAAAATTAAAGCTATAATTTTAAAAGAGGTGGAGGAAGGGCCAGGCACGGCGGCTAACGCCTGTAATCACAGCACTTTGGGAGGCCAAGGTGGGCAGATCATGAGGTCAGGAGTTCGAAGACCAGCCTGGCCAATATGCCGAAACCCCATTTCTACTAAAAATACAAAAATTAGCCAGGTGTGGTGACACACACACACTTGTAGTCCCAGCTATTCGGGAGGCTGAGGCAGAAGAACTGCTTGAACCCAGGAGGTGGAGGTTGCAGTGAGCCGAGATCGCACCACAGGACTCCAGCCTCGGGGGAGACAGAGTGAGACTCCCATCTCAAAAAAAAAAAAAAAAAAAAAGAGGTTGGGGAGGGAGAAGAGAGACACAGCAGAAAAAAACAAAAATCAAAGAGCCATGTGGAGCTAGCGAGTCCTCAGTCCCCAGTCCGGAAGAGCCGCACGGAGCTAACACGTCCTAGGCCCCCAGTCTGGAAGCAGACCCAGGTGAGTGTGCCCACCGAGCCCAGCGCTGCCGTGGCCCCACCTTGGCCCCCAGGAAGCCCTCGGAGAAGAGCATGATCTCGCAGATCTGCTGCAGGTCAGGCACGATCACGACCACGGGCCTGAACAGTGCCTTCACCGACTCGGGCAGCTCTGTGCGGCCTGCGTAGCCAGGGTTCATGGTGATGAAGATGCCCATGCGAGAGTCCAGGGTGATCTCCTGCCCTTCAAACTGGAGGACAAGAAGAAAGAAAGAAAGAAGCAGTTAGGTAACCCAGCCGGCCCGCCCTGGAAAGGCGGCCTGCGGCGAGCGTGTGGGATTCATTTTCATGGTACGAGGCAGATGACACCACCTGTCTCCTTTTCCCTCCCCGGTGCTCAATGCAGGGCCCCCCTCACTGAACCCTTGAGGAGGGCAGGTCTCAGTGGAACCCCAATCTCAGACCCGAACCCAAAGGCACCCCCTTGGAGACAGGGCCAAGGTTGACAAAGCACAGAGCCTGGAGCTGATACAAGAGGCTGTGGGACCCTCAACAGGTCACTCAACCTCTCTGAGTCTCAGTTTCTTTTTCTGCACAACAGAAATGCAACCTACCTCGTGGCATGGCTGTGGTGATTAAATGAGATAGCACAGGTTGGGAGCGCCCAGCCCACCACTTCACACAGCCCAGTTTCCGTTCCTCTCACCTGGCATGCCTTTGCACCCTCCGCAGGAGCCTGGACTTCACGCAATCACTCCCCGCTAAAGAATCCCACTCCTGCACCCCTCAAGAAACCAGTCTTCATTCCTCTGGTTGTCCCAGGTACCAATGAACCATAGAAATCCCTATATTCTTAGCCTCTGTAGCCAAAGGTTGAGTCCGGTTGTCTCTTGCTGAAGTTTTATATACATGTATCTATACATATATAGACGTATACATATTTTTATTATCCGCCAGTCAGGCAGAGGACAGAAATTTTTATTTTTAGGAGTCACAGTCTACATTGCCAACTAGAGCGCAGCCGGGAAGACAGCCAGCCTCCCCCAAAACAGGGCCACTGCCTTGACTCACAAGTGCACCCTGAGACCATTCCCCCACCCTCGGTATCCTGCAAGAGGCCCAGATGGTCTCTAGGGACTAACAGATAGCTTCAGCCCCCTGGCTCTGAGAAACACAGCTTCTGGAAATCGACATGCATTACATGCTAAATCCCTCTCTTGGGAGCAATCAGCTCAGCCCCAAAATACCTCAAAAGAGCTCATCCAAAGGAAACCTATCCAGACCTTTTACTAGAATCCTGAAAATTCTGAACAGTCTCCAGCTGACACAGTCTCTTAACAGTGAGCCCCGCCAAGATCTGAGAAGGCAAGTGGGATGCCAGGGCCACCAGCTCAAGCTCAGTTTTCATCCCAGATCTCCCACTGGGGCTCTAAAGGATGTATAGGAGTTTTCTAGTGAAGGAGAAGAAGGGACAATCCCACTCAGATAGGGACACATGTGGTGTCACAGGGCACAGTGTGACTGCGCAGTAAGTGGCTTAAGTGACAAAGCACGCAGGGCATGGAGGGGGGTGGACAAAGGCAGAAGGAAAGCAAAGGATCTAGAAGGCCCTGGTGCGGGGAAATTGCCCAGCCACGCTGGTCCTGTGTTCTCAGAGAAGCCCCTTTTGGGCCACCTAGATTATATAATCAGATCATGTTTCTCCCAATTTGGATCCAGCCTTAAATTCACATCTACAAGCACACGCGTAGGCAGAGAGAAACTGGGAATTCTCAACAACTGTTTTAAAATGTGGCCTTCTCACTTTGATAATCTTGCAAATCCTGCTTGTTACAATGCCGTAACTTTACAAGCTATGAAGGCAAAATTTCTTCTTCACTGTGATATTGTGATTGCATGGAATGTGTGCTTTGTAAGTCAGGTTTTCTCAAACTTGGGAAGTCGCCAAGAATATTTTTTCCTTTCTAGGAGGCCCTGCACACCACTTATTTGAGAATGCTGCCCCACCCCCATCTGTAACTGTTAGTGATATGTCTGGAGTCAGTGTGAAGTCCTTGGACTATTACAAACCTTATCATCAATGATGGTAATTTTGGAAACCCAATCATCTCAACTGGAAAAGAAAAAGCCAACAGATCTTCTAGAGGAAGCCTGATCTGGAGCGACAGCTGCCCACCATCTGATGTTTCAGAGGTAGTATGGCAAGCTTCCCTCCTGGGGACACGGTCCCGGTGGGCGGCACGTGTCTCACCTGGAATGTGGTTAACTGATGGATCAGAGCATTTCGGATCGTCTGGATCTGGGAGGAGATCACGGACAGCACAGAAGCATCAATTCGATTAAACTCATCAAAGCAGCCCCAAGCCCCGCACTGTGCCAGGCCAGAGAAAATCTTCCCCACAGCCTAGGAGGAACAAAATGTCAGGACAGGGGCAGTTTTCATCTTTAAAGCTGTAAGCAATACATTTATGGATATAGTTTCTAAATTAAGGAAACAATGAGATCGTTGATTGGCAGAGAAGCAGGCAACCAGCCACCTGACTACTGGATTTTTCTGGCAGGACTTCCAAGGCCCCTCATGGGCTGGCTTCTACTCGGGATTTTACAAATACAGATTTCTGTGTAAAAATCCTTTTCTCTTCTCTTTTCTTGAAATGTCGGAAAATATAGCAATACTGGGTCCACTTTCCCAAATGGTGATTATGAACCAAAGTTAGACAGTGAAGCCCTCTTTTTTTCTTCTTCTTCTTCTTTTTTTTTTTTTTTTTTTTTTTTTTTTTTTTTTTTTTTTTTTTTTTTTTTTTTTTTTGAGATAGTTTCACTCTTGTCACCCAGGCTGGAGTGCAATGGCTCAATCTCGGCTCACCGCAACCTCCACCTCCCAGGTTCAAGCAAGTCTCCTGCCTCAGCCTCCCAAGTAGCTGGGATTACAGGCATGCGCCACCATGCCAGGCTAATTTTTTGTATTTTTAGTAGAGACGGGGTTTCTCCATGTTGGTCATGCTGGTCTCCAGCTCCCGACCTCAGGTGATCTGCCCACCTCGGCCTCCCAAAGTGCTGAGATTACAGGCGTGAGCCACCGCGCCCGGCCAGTGGCGCCCTGTTTAGATGGAGTTTTGCTCTCAAGTTAGCCACAGATCCCACCACTCTCTACTGTCTGCCGGCCGCTTTACTCGCATACATTGTCTACCTGACGCTACTAGGCTAGTGAATCCGGGACTCTTGCTCTACATCCTGCTAGCAAAGCAGAATCTTTAAGCAGACACGTTTGTGTCCTGAGACTGTGGTGGTGGCAGGCTTTCTACTACCTTCTTCCCACTGTCACCGTGTCACTTCATGGAAGACCAGGAGGTGAAATGCCGTGTCCCACTTTAAGCTCTCTACCTAATGAGCCAGTACAAACAGCAACAGCAAGGCCTTACCTTGTAATCCATGCCTTCGCCACAGTTGGTGACAACGCAGAGCAAGCCCAGGGCTTTTGCCAGGTCCTTGGTGGTCTCAGTCTTGCCGGTACCTGCTGGGCCAGCAGGGGCCCCACCCAGGTACATGGACAGTGCCTGTTATAAGCCAAATGCAAAACATGTTTTCTGGTGCACAGAAGGAAGCAGGCGTCATTTCCAAATTCATCACTGTGACAACAGGTGCAGAATAGAGAATGCGGTGGTTGCTTTGATGTGTTAACTTGACTGGACCACAGGATGCCCAGGTAGCTGGCTAAACATTATCTCTGGGAGTGTCCATGAGTGTGTTTCAGGAAGGGATTAGTATTTGAGAAAAGCAGGTGACCCTCCTCAAAGTGAGTGGGCCTCATCTAATCTGCTGAAGACTGAACAGAACGGAAGGATGGAGGAAGGTTGCACTGGGGCTGCCTGACTGCTTGAGCCAGGGCACTGGGCTTCTACCCTGGGCACTTCGGGTTCTCAGGCCTTCAGACCCAGACAGGAATCTACACTACTGGTTCTCTCACTGTCAGAACTTCAAACACTACTAGCCTTCCTGGTTCTCCAGCTTGCAGATGGCAGATCATGAGAGTAATCAGACTCTGTCATCACATGAGTCAATACCTCATAATAAATCTCTTTCCAAATATCTAGACAGACAGAGAGAGAGAGAGAGACAGGATGGGGAGGTAGGTAGGTAGATGGACAGGATGGATGGGTAGGGAGGGAGAAATAGAGATAGATGGATGGATAGGATGGATGGAAAGAGAGAAAAGAGAA